CTCCAGCTTTTCCCCCTTGCAGCCTTTCCCAGCACCTCCATCAGGCCCATGGTGCCTTGGCATCTGCACAGACCTTTTTGAAATTTAGGGACAAAAAGTGCAAAGAGCTTTTTCTTTCTCCCCCATCATCTCTTTTTTTTCACATGCATAATCATCTTCCTGCAAAGCAGAGAAACAAATGGATAAGGGAGTGGAGGTTTCATTTTTACGGAAAGCAATTACGGACATTAAAAGAGCTAAAGCAATAAAAATAATATTTAAAATTCAAATCCCTTATCTATATTACAAGGGTATTAACATGAGAAGAAGTTATTTTTATTTTTTTTCTCCCCCCTAATCTCATTTGCTTTGCAGGTCAATCTGCAAACTTTCATGCCAGCCCTCTGAATTTTATTTTATTTCTTTTTTAATTTGGAGACTGATCTGCAGTTCTGGAGGTCTGGGTTTGGCAGGTTTGTGAACTCCATGGCTCAGGGGTGAGGATCCTGCTTTGTCCCCTTCCTGCTTGCACCAGAAGGGACAGCTGTATTCAGCAGGGAAGGGGGAAGGTTGTACTTTCTATGGATTAATACCATATTTATTGGTTTTCTATGGATTAATATAATATTTATTGGTTTTCTATGGATTAATATCATATTTATTGGTTTATGGCTCCAGGTTTTAATGCATTGAATGAATAAAAATTGCAATTGGGCTGTGAGCACTTGGGGGAAGGAGCTGCTCCAGCCTGGAAGGGAAGGAAAAATAGGGAAAGGGAAATTGAAATGGGGAAAGGGAATGAGAAATAGAGAAAAGGAAGGAAAATGGAGAAAGGAAAGGTAAAGTGGGGAAAGGAAGGGAAAAATGGGGAAAGGAAAGGAAGATGGAGAAAGGGAAGGAAAAATGGAGGAAAGGGAAGGGCAAAATGGAGAAATGAAAGGTAAAGGAAGGGAAAATTGGGGAAAGGAAAGGAAAAATTTAAAAGGGAAGTAAAAAGGGGGAAAGGGAAGGAAAATAAAGAAAGGGAAGGAAAATGGGGAAAGGGAGGGAAAAATGGGGAAGGGGAAGGAGAAATGGGGAAAAGGAGGGGAAAATGGAGAAAAGAAGGGAAAAATGGGGAAAGGGATGGAGAAATGGGGAAAGGGAGGGAAAAATGGGGAAAGGGAAGGAAAAATGGAGGAAATGAAGGCGAAATTGTGGAAGGGAGGGGAAAATGGGGAAAGGAAGGGAAAAATGGAGGAAAGGGAAGGCAGAATGGAGAAAGGAAAGATAAAGCGGGGAAAGGGAGGGGAAAATGGAGAAAAGGGAGGGGAAAATGAAGAAAAGGAAGGCAGAATGGGGAGCATGCTCCAGACCACAGGGCAGGCTAAACTTTGGGGTGAGTTTGAGCAGGGCTGTGTGGAACCCAGCCAGGCAGGTGTGGGGACATCCTGCTGTCCCATAAAGGTGGGACAACCCCCTGCAGGCCTGGGGGGGCTGTGTTGGCCCCAGGTTTGCTCTTTCCCAGCATTCTGACCCTCTCCCTGTGTCCCTGTGCCCAGAAAGCCGACCTGGCCGTGGCGGGGCTGACGATCACGGCGGAGCGCGAGAAGGTGATCGATTTCTCCAAGCCCTTCATGACTCTGGGAATCAGCATTCTCTACAGGGTTCACATGGTAAGAGCCTGATTTCTGAGCCATTTATGTCCCTCCGTTATTCGCCTGCTTAGGGGGGAGGATAATGAACGACTCATAAAAAATATTTGGGTTTCTTATTTAAACGCAAATGTGCTCGACCTTTATTTCCTGCTTTTCTCTCCCTCTGCTGCGTGTCAGGATTGGTGAATTCCGTTCCTATTCAACCCTCAGCCCTTTGGCTTCTCTCCCCGCTCCTCCCACGGCACATGATGGGGTTTTTTGGCGTGGTGGGGGGTTCAGGATGGTTTTAGAGTGGTTTTAATTGGATTTAAGTGGATTTAAGTGGCTTTAAGGCAACTGGGTGAGGTGTAATGAGGGCAGGTTTGGCTGGAGAGGGGAAGAAGTGTGGCTGGAATTGCAGAAACTTGGCTTGGAGTCACCTTCCAGTTGGGTTTAGTGCTAAAACTGGCTGGGATATCTGTGGGTGCTCCTTGATGGTGGTGGGGCCATTCCTGGTCTCAGCTTGGCTCTCTTGCTGCCTTCTCCCACCTGAGAAAAGGGAAAAATGGGGAAAGGGAGGGGAAAATGGGGAAAGGGAGGGGAAAATGGGGAAAGGGAGGTAAAATAGAAAAAAGAAGGGAAAAATTGGGAAAGGGAAGGAGAAATGAGGAAAGGGAGGGGAAAATGGGGAAAGGGAAGGAGAAATGGGGAAAAGGAGGGGACAGTGGGGAAAGGGAAGGAAAAATTGAGGAAATGAAGGAGAAATTGTGGAAGGAAGGGAAAAATGGGGAAAGGGAGGGAGAAATGGGGAAAGGGAGATAAAATGGAGAAAACATGGGAAAAATGGGGAAAGGGAAGGAGAAATGGGGAAAGGGANGGAGAAGGTTTTGGAGAAGGTTTTGGTGCTGTTTAAACGCTCCCTCAGGTGTTTTTTTACCCCTTTGTCCTGAGGTTTGGAGGCTTTGGAGGCTGTTAGGAACCTGCAAATCCATTCTGAGGTGTGGACATGAATTCCACCACAAATTCCACCAGTCTGGCCCCCCAGTTTGTGGAGGACAGGGAAGTTCATGGGTACCTTTGAGCAGCTTTGAGTGCAGAGCCTCATTTGGTAGCTCTCATTCCCCTGTGAACAATTTCTTGTCACAGGGACCCCTCAGTGCCCAATTCTCATCACACAGGGACCCCTCAGTGTCACTCAGGGACCCCTCAGTGCCCAATTCCCATCACACAGGGGACCCCTCAGTGCCCAATTCTCATCACACAGGGACCCCTCAGTGCCCAATTTTCGTTACACAAAGACCCCTCATTGCCCAATTCTCACTGCACAGGGACCCCTCAGTGTCACACAGGGGCCCCTCAGTGCCCAGTTCCCATTACACAGGGACCCCTCAGTGCCCAATTCTCATTGCACAGGGACCCCTCAGTGCCCTATTCTCATTACAAACTGGGACAGTGCTGTCACTGGCTCCCTCAGCGTGGCTGAAGCTGCCATCCTGACAGGGCTTTAATGGTTTCTTTGAGTGCTGTTACAGCCTCAGAAATGCAGGTCTGGAGAAACCATTGAATTATGCACAGCTGGTGCCTCTTCAGCCCCTTCCTCATGTTTTAAAAATGATGCTCCAGAAAGGTGCCTTTGCCCAGCTCCCCCCTGGAGAGGGAGCTTTGGCTGCTGCTCCCTGCCTTGCTCAGCAGGAAGGAGCTCTTGACCCTGTGAGCTGCAGACTCTCCAGAGCTCTGGGGTTTGCTGCCAGTGCTTGATCCACCATGGAGGGTCTGCAGGAAATAACCTGCTCCTCGTGCTGCCTGGCACACAGTGAGAGAGGAGATGCAGGGATGAAAAGAGCTCCCTGACATTGGCTAAATGTGATGTGAGCTGGCACAGCCCTGCAGCTGTTTTGGCAACAGCCCCAAAATGACCCTCCCAGGCCCCAGAATTCTTAGCTAGAGCAGAATGGAGTGCAGCACATTAATTAGCAGACTTTCTTAGCAACCAGGGAACTGGAAACAGCAAAAGAGAAAGAGAGAGATGCAGTCACAGCAGTGACAGGCTCAGACATTTCCCATTCCCACCTCTGTCCTGTCCCTGAAGGATGGGATGCTTTGAAACACCAGCACTCAGCTCCTAGCTCCACCTCAGACCTTCTCAGAGCAATCCTTTGCACCAACAGAGTTTTCCTTGATGGTTTAATGCAGTCAGGGCTCAAACACTTTGCTTTTGAGCTTCCCATCAGTGCTCGTGCCCCGGCAGGGAGCACAGCCAGAGATGTTTGATTTCTGCTTCCCATCAAGTCCGTGCACATCTGGAGCTCCTGCTGTGGTGTGGATCTGCAGGACGCACGCAGAGCTGCCCACAGCAGAGCCTCTCAAAGTTTTGTGCAAATCTTTACAAGAAAGCCTCTGGCTCCTGAGCCTTCGAGCAAACGTTTCACACAGCTCTGAGCCCTGGGCATCAACTGACAGCAAAGCATTTCCTCCTCAGAAAGCTCTGCCTCCAGGAGAGCTGGAGCTTCACAGCTTTCCTCTCTTTTGTGTTTTTTTTGTTTTTTTTTTTTTTAAAGTGTCCCATTTCCCAGCGCGTTCCCTGAGCTCTCCTTTCCTCCTCCTTTCAGGCTGACACCGTACGAGTGGTACAGCCCCCACCCCTGCTCCCAAGGTCGATGCAACCTCCTGGTGAACCAGTACTCGCTGGGGAACTCGCTGTGGTTCCCCGTGGGGGGGTTCATGCAGCAGGGCTCCACCATCGCCCCCCAGGCTCTGTCCACGCGCTGCGTCAGCGGCGTCTGGTAAGGAGGGCAGCCCTTCCTCCTCCCAGGAGGGTTTCTCTGGGCAGAGGGATGTGCAGGAGGGAATTCTTCATGGGAAGGGCTGTGGGACTTTGGGAGGAGGTGTTCGAGGGGGACTGGATGTGGCACTCACTTGTCTGGGGGACAAATGGGGACTGATGGTTTTGGAGGGATGTGAAGGTGTTCGCAGGGGTCTGAGGATGAGGGAAGACATGAGGATCTGACTCCATGTTTCACAAGGCTTGATTTATTATTTTATTATATGTATTATATTTAAACTATACTAAAAGAATAGAAGAAAGGATTTCATCAGAAGGCTGGCTAAGAATAGAACAGAAAAGGAATGATAACAAAGGTTTGTGGTTTGGACTCTCCGTCCAAGCCAGCTGGGCTGTGATTGGCCATTATGTTGAAGACATCTTTTTATGAAAATCCTTTTCTTAGGATTTTTCTTCCTGAGAAGCTGAGAGGCCTCAGCAACAAAACGTAAACAATGGTTATCTGCTGCTGTGGAATGCAACAGGTGCATCTGGGATTGGCCCATCTCAGACGTTTGCAGTAAATGCCCAACCACAGCCCAGTTAGCTTGGACTCTCTGTCCAAGACACAAACCTTTATTATTCATTCCTTTCTATTCTTAGCTTAGCTAGCCTTCTGAGATGAAACTTTTCCTTCTGTTCTTTTTACTATAGTTATAATGTAATATATATATATCATAAAATTATAACTCAAACCAAATATGGAGTCAGATCTATGTCTCTTCCCTCATCCTGAAAACCCCTGTGAACACGGTCACAGGCATTAATTAGAAACAACCACATGAGACCAATCCCAGGTGCACCTGTTGCATTCCACAGCAGCAGATAACCATTGTTTCCATTTTGTTCCTGAGGCCTCCCAGCTTCTCAGGAGGAAAAATCCTAAGGAAAGGATTTTTCATAAAAAACATCTGTGACCGAGGGTTTTTGCAATCTCTGTGATTCTGAGAGGCAGAGGGTGGGGATGGAGAGCAGATTTCCTGGGGGAAACCACACCTTCCCTTCCCTCCCCTTAGGTGGGCATTCACCTTGATCATCATCTCCTCCTACACGGCCAACCTGGCGGCGTTCCTGACCGTGCAGAGGATGGACGTGCCCATCGAGTCCGTGGATGACCTCGCTGACCAGACCACCATCGAGTACGGCACCATCCACGGCGGCTCCAGCATGACCTTCTTCCAAGTAAACCCCATTCTTTGGCTGCCTGGGGGGGCAGGGGGTGCACAGGGCACCCCTCAATCACTTTGGGGTGTCCCCTCAGCCTGCTGTGCCCCTGTGTCACTCCAGCTCTGGAGAGATCCCTGCACAGGATGAATGGTGGGAGAGAGACATGGTGGAGGACACAGAGAGGGAATTCAACAAGGAATTCAAATTTTCACAGGTCTCCACATCGTTTTAGGTTTTATTTGAGAGTCTTTCAGGTGGGATAAGCAAAGAAACATTTGCACAACCCAGGCAGAGTGCTGGAGCCTGTGTGAGGTCAGTGGCACTGAAATAAGCCAAGTGTATGCAAAGTTATGCGGGCCATTTAGCCCAATTTAATTTTTATCTTCCCCGCTCTGCTCAGAAGGGAAATAAATGAGTGAATCTTTTCTGCAGCGCTCTGAACGCACAAAGAACCGTCTGAGGAATATTTATTTATTTATTGCTTGTTGAAATTCCAAAAGGAGAGAAAGCTTGTTCTCACTCTTTCCCCCCACTCTGAGTCTGAACTGAATTTGGAAGGCTGGGAAATCTCTGGAGTCAGCCTGAGCTTTTCAGTCCAACTTTATGCTCTTCAGGGGTATGGAAAAGAGCTACTTTTAAGCCAAACTTTACATCTAAAATGAGCTGAGCAGGGCCTAAGTGAGGGGGGTGGTTGTATACGAGGGGCTCACTTGAGGAAAGCTTTCAAGTTGAAACCCCTGGCTGTGTCTGTGCGCTGCCTGGCAGTGAGGAAATGAGAGAGGAAATTTGAAAAAGAGGGGTTTGTCCTATTTGTGGTGATTTAAACTGTGTTGAGATCCATTTTCCTCTGGTGTAAGGATGGGGAGGTTCAACAGTGATGCAAACTGCCTCCATCTCCCCTCCCTTCCTGGGTGCATGAAGCAATGTTTGTCCCCCTCCCCAGGCACCTTGTCCTGGCAGTGCTTCCCCTGACACTGACACACGGTTTAAGGTCTAAAAATGCAGTGAAACAGAACCAAACCCCCCCTGCTCATCTGTCTCCTGCCCAAGTGGCTGCACCCAGAGGACAGAGCTGGACAGATGAGGACAGGAACTGGGTCAGCAGCAGATTCCCTGAGGCTCTCCAGCATCGCTCACCAGCCACAGCAAACGAGCCCTTGACAGTATGAAAATGCTCATGCAGAGCAGGGTGTGTTTATATTCAGTCTTTGTGCAAGCAGCTTTCACTCTCTGCTCTGCACAGGCATGAGAGATTCATCATTCTCAGCTCTCTTTTCATCAGACCAAGGTGGTTCAGCCACCAGCCAGCTCTGAGGATTTGGGGCTGGCTGAGCTTTGGTTTATTGCAATCAATGACAAAAAAAACCCAGTTCTTTTCAGCAAGCACTTTAAGTTCCCTCACAGGGGGGGTGAACCAAATCTGGATTATTTTTTGAATTAAATTTGTGAGCAGTAATCTCCCAAGAGCTTTTGTGCTGCCCCCAGCCCTCAGTGCCCTCCTCAGGGTGCTGGAGTCTGGCTCTGACACTGAACAACTGTTGGGACAGTGTTTGAGGGATGGTCACTATGGTGTGAGCACCTAGAGGTTTCAATCAACCAAGCAGGAGCTCTTTCTTCAAACATTTTTTGTGTGTTTTTGATTTGTGGTCACTAAAATTTTTTTTTTTTTTCTAAAATTGAATTTACTTTGTTTTGCCAGACCCCGTTGGAATTGGGGCATTTCACGCCCAGCTTTTCCAATGAACTCCCAACACATTTGGGCCTCTTTGAGATAGACAAAGATGAGGCACCAAAATCCTTCCTGAGTCTGAAATCAGATTTGATTCCTGTCTCCATTGTGGCCTTTCTGCAGCAGCGCCTGTTATGGGGGTCTAATTTAGGGGTCTGTTCTGGTTTGAAAGCAAAACCAGTGAGAGACTCCAAGTCAGAAATACAATTTATTAGGAAAAAGGAAAAAGAAAACCAAAACACATGCAATAATACATAAGAAGAAACCTAACACCCTGTTGGTCAGGGTTGGTAGCAGTCCAGTTGGATTGGTGGCTGCAGCCCTCCTGGAGTGGCAGGTGTGGGTCTGGTAGAGCAGGGATCCTGTAGAAGGGTGTAGTCTTCTTCTGAAGATCCAGTGGAAAAGACAGCTCTTCCTCTGGGAATCCAGTGGAAAGACTGACTGCTCTGTCCCAAACCCCGGATTATATCCAGGTGGGGATGCTTAGCTCCTCCCCCTGGGTGGGGCATCTCACAATGGGCTGTTATCATTCTGTGAGCCATGTAGTGGGTACATTAAACAGAAATGGCTCCTGGAGGGAGTTCTGTCCCAAGCCCCAGATTCTATCCAGGTGGGGATGCTTGGTTCCTCCCCCCTGGGTGGAGCATCTCACAATGGGCTGTTATCATTCTGAGTCATGTGGTGGGTTCATTAAACAGAATTAGCTCCTAGAGGGAATTATCTCTGAGTCATGCAGAAAGGCATTGATGGACCCATTAACAGGAGATAAGGAAAAAAACAATGCCCCTCCTGGTTTCAGCAGCTCTTGGTGATGGTGTCCTGGCTTGAAAAGAAAGCAAGTTTTTTGGGAGTTTGTGGTCAATATCTTAATATTGTAACCTAGGACAGGATCAAATTTACCCCAAAATCTCCTCCCTGAGCTGTGGCTGTGTCTTTCTCCCCTGCAGAACTCCCGCTACCAGACGTACCAGCGGATGTGGAACTACATGTACTCCAAGCAGCCCAGCGTCTTCGTGAAGAGCACGGAGGAAGGGATCGCGCGCGTGCTGAACTCCAACTACGCCTTCCTGCTGGAGTCCACCATGAACGAGTATTATCGGCAGCGCAATTGCAACCTCACGCAGGTCGGGGGCCTTCTGGACACCAAGGGCTACGGGATTGGCATGCCCGTCGGTAGGCAGTGAAGAACAATTCTAGTCCTTCTCGGCTGTCGGCAGAGGACCGGAGCGTTCCAAAGGCTGCGCCGGCTCTAAAAGCCAACGTTGCATCTCACAGGGTCCTTTTTATTTCTTACCTGTTGCCTATGCTCAGAGCCAGATGTGCAAGACCTTGCTCTGGTTCAGAGCCAGATGTGTGAGACCCTGCTCTGGTCCAGAGCCAGATGTGAGACCCTGCTCTGGTCCAGAGCCATGTGAGACGCGACCATGGCTCTTTCGATGATTCATGTGAAAGATGTCTCAAAATTGCTGCTTGTTTTCTGCATACCTGCTCTTTGCTGTTTCCTTTCCCCAACCAGTGTTTGTGCATCGTTTCGTGCTCCTTGTTTTAATCCCAGAAGTGATGTCAAAGTAATGCTGTGGCAATTCTGGTAGTTTTTAGCAGGGATGTCTTAACAGCTGGTGGTTCTTGAAACTGCAGGCCAGAGACTTGGCTCTCACCAGGTTTAACAAATGCAGGGGTTTTGTCTTTCAAATGCATGAGCTCACAAGAGAACACCACCACTAAATAAGGGTTTAGTTGTTATTCCAAACGATGATCCGCTGGTCTTTTGGACAGCCTGGAAGCCTTGTCCTGACCTTTAAGCCCTGGCATTTAGCAACACAAAGTTGAGGTGGATTACATAAGGCCCCGTCACACAAACAGCCACTCTAGTTTAGGGAACATGGGTAAGCTTGTAAAGTCACAGCAACCTGATCAAAGTGAGTACAAATCCCTACCTTCAAGGCTAAATTTGTTCTGACATTGTCTTGTTAAACAGTGAAACCGTAGCAGATAAGAGGAGCAGAAAGCTGCTGGCTGGGACAATAGTGCAGAGTTACTGGGAGAAGCAGAGTCTTTCCCATGGCCCTTCCTCGGGATCTCTGGTGGCAGACAAGGATCTCTGGTAGCAGACACTGGGACTGCAGCAGAGCTCTGTGCCCAGCACAGGACTGAGCTCCTCCAGCATGGACATTGTGGCTTCCATGATCCTTGGGCTCCTTCCAGCTCAGGATTTCTGTGACCAGTTTGAGGGAAGGATTGTTAGAACAAGGTGAAATTGGGGGTGGAATGACAAGAGAGGTGGAATTGGAGGTGGAATGACAAGAGAGGGACCTCTGTGGTCTGCAGGAGCAGGGTACTGAACTGCTCATTCAAAAGCCAAAGCTCCCCTCTCCATGGAGCTGCTCCAGTGGCCTGTGTGGCTCCTGGTGGCCAGGCAAAGTCACCTTCTGCAGGTGACATTAACCAGGTGACATTCCCAGTGGGGTGGCTGCAGCTCTCCATGGCTGGCATGGACTGACAGCCCCTCCAAGCCACCTAGAGAGGAGCTGTGCTAGCTGGGCACACTGGGGTGGGGTGAGGATGATGATGGGGAGGAAGGTGGGGCCCTACCACGTCCCTCTCGGCGTTGCAGGCTCCGTGTTCCGTGACGAGTTCGACCTGGCCATCCTCCAGCTGCAGGAGAACAACCGCCTGGAGATCCTGAAGCGCAAGTGGTGGGAAGGAGGGAAGTGCCCCAAAGAGGAGGACCACAGAGCCAAAGGTAAGCCCTGCACTCCCAAGGGACCAGGTACAGAAAAATCCTGGCCAGAGGTGCCAGGATGGACGCCCAGCTGTGTGTCTGACAGGTTTTCTGCCTGGGAATTGCTTTTTCCCCTTCTCCTGACCTGAGATTCCTTCCTTCACAACTCAAGGAGAAAGCCGAGCAGCTCCACCGCGCCTCACGCTGTGTGTTTTTGCCTGGGGCAGAGATAGCGGGAACAACCAAATGACAAATATTGGAGGCATATGGAGGGTAAATTAGCTTCTAATGAATGTCTGGGAAAATGGATGGCTGAAGGGATCAGACCAAAATCCTGGGTTCCTTGAAGGGAGATGGATCTCCACCACAGGCCCGCTGGTTAATGGCTTCATGTGAAAGCGTCTTTTAAACAGCCAGGGGAAGGGACACAAGGACTTTATTAGTACATTTGTAAACTGAGGAGCAAATTCTTTTGGGTAATGCTATGCAAATTGCCATAAAAGCCACCACATTAGGCTGATGTCCCAGCATGAGAGCAGTTGCCAGCTTTACACAGTTGCTGCATTTTTTAGTTTTGGCAGCGGCCCTTTCCTCAGCAAGTGATTTCTGCGAGGCCAGCAGGCCCCCCAGTTAAAAGAACAGCCTTGTGACTTTTGTGGGAGCAGAGAAAAGAGCCAAGCCAGGGCTGGGAAGCTCTTTTGGAGTTTTGACCTTGCAGCAGGTGTAGGTGTATGTGTGTCTGTGCAGTTCCTGTTGGGAGGTGATGCTCACTTTTGGGCAGTGCTGCTCTACAGACAGCCCCAGTTATTCATCTCCAGGCTGAAGGTGTAAGACATCAGGTTATTGCTATTAAATGAGTTACTTTTGAAAGTGGAAGGGTTTATTTTCTCCCTGGGCTGTGCCAAAGGCAGCTCTAAGGTGGAATCTAGGCTGGGGGCTGTTTTGAGATGGCTTTGGAAGGGGAAACTGGGCTGTGTCTGGCACTGCCCAGCACAATCTGTGACCCTGGGCAAGATTTTCTGCTGGTTTGTTCCCTATGCCATGGAGATGAGGAAGGCTGTGACTGCATGGATAAAGGAAATATCTCTCAGTGAGCTTGGGTGTCTGAGGTGACACCCAGACAGAATAATAGGAGGATGTGTAGAGAGGTACAAACCCTAAATTCACATTGTGAGCTGCAGGGGGGAGTGGATGGCCTTTAGCTTTGGGTCTGAATTGTGATTCTGGGCTTTTTTATCTGCCTTGCCATTGCTGTAGAAACACCTCTGCAAAAGTCTCTGATTTACAGACTCCCTGCATTGCTCTGGGGGTGGTGCCAAAAGAATGACGGAGGAGGAGGCAGAAATGTGACCTGCTAAGTTTTAGAACAAAACAGGTCAGCGATTTACAAGGATTTTGGTGAGGTTTTATGTCTAAAAGCCACGCTGAGATCAAGTCAATAAATCATCTATTCTTACACTTTGATTTAATGCTACAGGAGGGAGAGGAAGAGTTTTATAGATGTTCTTGTTGAGTAATGGCCTCACACAGCCAAGCCAGGGCAGAGCACATGTTTTTTAGCAGTCCATCCAATCACAGACCCAAACCAAACACAGGAGACAGGAACCATATCCCAAATGTTGAGGTCAGCTCCTCTCACAGACAGATGGAGGCACAGTTTTGGGTACCAGGGCCATGGTGGCAAGTGAAGTGATGGCCTCAGCACATGGAAAGCTCAGGTTTTTAAGGGATGGATTTTCCTTCAGCTGGTGGAACTTTCTGGAATGCAGGCTGGGTAGGCATGATGGTCATCCCATAGGAATGTGCAGGGGAGGTGGGATGAGCTGTCCATGCAAGGGGCTGTTCCCTCCGCATGGGCCAGGGGTGTTGGGCAGAGACACCCAACCCCAGCCAGGTGCCCCAGGGTGGCAGGGACCCCAATTTGTCCCCCTGTAGTGACAGAGCATCCTGCTCTTGTTTGGAGCCTCTCCTTTCCCACTGCAGTCCGGAATCATTTTCCTGCAGCACTTTGTGATGCAATCAAAGGAGCTTTTCCTGCTGCCAGCTTCCTTTAAAGCCCTTCCCTGTCTCCTTTATCTCTGCTCCTTTAACAACCTTGCTCCTCTTCCTTCTCAAGTTCAAAGCCACTGGAGCTCAGTGAATAATTTGCAGGGATTAATGTGCCCCTTTGATCCCGCGTTTTTCCCCCTCCTGTTTTCAGTTTGTCCACAAATTGCTTTGAGCTTCCCCTCCAACGTTCTGGCTGTTTATCTGCAAAATCATCATTTCTGAGCAGGCATCTTCGATCCTGCAGTTATTGCAAGTCACTCACTTGGGCCATCTGAGTCATGCAGGCAGCTATTAATAGGACACTGCTGGCTCTGTGCTTTTGGTCCCTGGCTGGGCATCCACAATGCCAACAAAACAGCAAAGCCTGGGGCTTCTGTGCAGTGATACTTGAGATTTATGATGTGTCTGCCACTCCAGAGTGTCTCTCCTGCTTTATTTCAGGCTTGGGGATGGAGAACATTGGTGGAATCTTCGTGGTGCTCATCTGCGGCTTAATCGTAGCAATTTTTATGGCAATGCTGGAATTTTTGTGGAGCCTTCGACACTCTGAACAGTCGGAGGTAGGAGCTGGGAGTGTTCTGAGGGGACAGGATGAGTTTATTGCTGTCTGTGGGGTGTCATGGACCTAGGCTGAGGAGCAATCCCAGCCAGGACAGCTCAAACCCAGGAACAGGCTTGGTCCTTTGGGCAGGGTATAAAATCCATGAGTTTCTCATGCACTCCAACTCTCAGGGAGGCTGTAGAGATGCTCCAAGGGCTGTAGAGATGCTCTGAGGGGCTTTCAAAGGGATCAAAGATGTGTACAAAGATGTGTACCTTTCCTGGGGATGGGATTTCTACCTGCAGCAGGTTTGGATCCTGTGCTGATCTGGGGATGAAGAACACAGAGGGGTCTCTGGTAAGAGGCGGAGTTGGGTTGAACCAAGTGTAGATTCTGAGCATTGGAGTTGAAAACCAGCAGCACCGAGTCCCTAAAAATTTGGTGTCAGAATCACATCATGGAATGTTAAAACAGACTGGGTTGGATGGGACCTTATAGCTCATCCAGTTCCACCCCTTGCCATGGTCAGGGACACCTCCCACCATCCCAGGTCACTCCAAGCCCACATCAGTCCAGGACCCAGAGCCCCTGAGGCACTCAGAGCTCGCTCAGGTGAGCTTGGGTATGTCAGGACTCCAAGCCCTCATCACTCCAGGACCCAGAGCCCCTGAGGCACTCAGAGTTTGCTCAGGTGAGCTTGGGTATGTCAGGACTCCAAGCCCTCATCACTCCAGGACCCAGAGCCCCTGAGGCACTCAGAGCTCGCTCAGGTGAGCAGCCCAGCTCTGTTCTCCCCCACAGGTGTCGGTGTGCCAAGAGATGGTGACGGAGCTGCGCAACATCATCCTGTGCAAGGACAGTTTCCACCCCCGTCGGAGGCGAGGGGCGGTGGTTCGGACTCGCCCCGCGGCGCCCGAGGAGCGCCGAGCCCGCAGCACCACCACGCTCAGCAACGGCAAGCTGTGCAGCGGGGGCGAGCCAGACCCCCTGGCACAAAGACTGGCACAGGAGGCTGCCCTGGTGGCCCGGGGCTGCACCCACATCCGCGTGTGCCCCGAGTGCCGCCGCTTCCAGGGGCTGCGGGCGCGGCCGGCCGCGGGGTCGCCGGCGCGCAGCGAGGAGAGCCTGGAGTGGGACAAGGCCACCAACAGCAGTGGGCCCGAGTAGCGCCAGACCGAGGGGGCGTCGGGGTGGGGACGAGAGGGTCCTGTTCCATTTTACAGAACACGGACTTGTACAATGTCAACTCGTTTTTAAATCAATAGCAGTTACCCGGCTTCTCCAGAGCGAGGTGGATCTTGGCGTGGACACTGAGGCCCGGCTGTGGTTTTGGTGTCCACCGCGGCCTGGTGGGGCAGGAGGGAGGTCCTCAGGCTGGTGGGTGTCCGGAGGGTGTCTCTGGGATGGAAGGATGCGGTGGGTGGCTGGTGTAGCAGGAATTGCCCACCCAGGGTCAAGGAGGGGTGCCTGGAACTCTCCCCTCCAGGGTCAGAGAAAGGACGGTGGCGCTGCCTCTCCATCACTTACTGCGGGATGTTCTCCAAGGGAAGGGCGGGACTTTTTATTTGCTGTGGCTCTGGGAAGGGAGGAGTCATTATTTTGGGGTTTTTTTGTTTAATTTGGGTATGTCAGGACCCAGTCTCCAAGGCACCAGGTGCTGAATTCTTCTTCCTTTTCCGAGGGTGGCAGGTGGGTTGAAGGGGGAAGGGGAGGATGGGATGGGACACACTCCCTGTGAGAAGCAGCCTTTGCTGGAAGTCCATCTGAGGAGCTGTTGAAATTACATATATAGAGAAATATATCTATACATAGATATATATATAAAAATATATATTAAAATGCCAAAAAACAGCCAATGAACACAATGAACTCAAAGAGGCCTTGAAACGCCTGGAATTTCAGGGGTTCTGTGTTTTTTGTTTCATTCTGGGGTTATTTTTTACTTTCTTTTCCTTTTCCTTTCTATTCTTGGGATGGGGTGGGGAGGAGCCTTTTGGGGGAGGTGAGTGGGGAGCACTGGGGGGGCTGCCCATCCCCACCAGCCAAGGGAGGAGGTGTTGGGACCCCCAAAGTGTCCCTGGCTGTGCTCTGCACGCTCCTGAAGTGACTCTGAGCTCTGCCCCAGGCCCAGGAGTTCCCAAATCCGTGACCCCACGGAGCACCCTCAGCTTCCAGGGTGAATTCCAGCCACACAGCGTTTGAGAAAAACATTAGCCCAAGATCTCGTGTGAGGAAAATAGTGACTTCCCTAGAAACAGCAGCAGCTCACCCTCTGCTTGGTACAGATGTGGGGTTTACACTGGCAAATTTAATTTTCTGATTGAAAAAACAAATTCTATGCAATTTCTGGTCGTAAAAGGAAAGAGATGACAATGGAGAGGGGCAGGGGAGATAAAGCCTTGAGTGAAGGTACATCCTGTTCTTGAATTGTTTTCTTTTCTTTTTGTCTTGAATGTACTTAAATAAAAGATGTCCTTGTATAATCATGCTCTTTTTTTTTTTTTTCCTCTTTCCTTCCCTGTTCAGAGTCAGGAAAGTTGTGAGACAGTTTGGCTGCTCAGGGAGTAACCCAGCAACCTGACAGGCAAGAGGTGCTTTGGCTGTTGAAGGTCTCTTCTCCCTGAGAGTGTCCACACCCCTGCTGTAGCTGAATGGAAAACAGGAGTTAAAATTAAAGGTCAATTTAAAATAAAGCGCAAATACCTGGTGATGAGGGAGGAGAGAACTCAGAGCTGACAGCAGGGTGAGCAGGGAGGGATGCAGCTCCACCTTTCCCATAGCTGGGGGCTGGAGCTGCCCAAGGGTGAGTCCAGGGTGATGCCAGCAGATGTTTCTGAGGAGGGTGGGCAGGGAATCTGGTTTAACCCATGGTGATGGGCACAGCAGGGTTGTTCTCATGATTCCAGCAGATGTTTCTGAGGAAGATGGGCAAGAAATGGGGTGTGATCCA